GTGAGCTTATATGCTTCAGTGGGGTACCCACAGACAGCTATTTAATGATGTAGTCATGAAACTGAAAGTAAAGCTTGGATGTTATGGCAAAGGCGCTTATTCTCTTGTGTCCTCGTTCCTTTTTCTTGCAATCTTCCTTGCACAAGCTCTAAATCCCCTTTTTAGGTTTATATAAATGTTTCATCCTCCTAATACTGGCATGCTTAATAACCATTAATCCCTTGTCCACCTGGGAAGGGCAGGCCTCCCATCTGCTCTGCTCTGCCTACAGAGCTTTGTGCTGTGCCTTGGGCATGTTTATTTGTTAATGACAGCTGAGGTTCTTATGAGCAAAACAGCAGGAGGTCTGCAGATGTTGAAGGCAGGGCAAGGAGGGTCTGAGATGATCTCCAGTGCATTTGTTGTGAAGGAAGGCATTCTAAAAATCTATTAATCCATAATTGTTTGGATAATACTTGTGGAATAAGACAACAGTAAATCACCAGTCAGTCGAAAAGAGGGGCACAGGGAGGGAGAAGGAGGCAAGAGAACTGCTGTGTCCTTTTATCACATTTCTACCTCTTAAAACAAGTTAACTAATTGTTAAAATGTAGTGCCCATCTCATCATTTTGTCACCTGAGCAAAACGGGAGTATTTTCAGATGTTTGTCTATGAAAAACCTACTAAGCTTTTTTTAAGGAACGGTGGGAGGGCCACGGCAGATGTATAATGAGCAGCTGTCACAAGCCTTAGGGCGTAAAGAGGAGGACTATTTGGATTTTGCAAAGGGAAGTATTGTGGCCTTTGCCCCAAAGAGGGAAAGTAATGCCGGTGGTGACAAGAAACTCTTTAAGCCCACTGACAAATACTGTATGCCTTCCTAATCATCCATATGGGGACAAATGGCGTGCCCAGATACAGTCCTGAAGGCACTGTAAGTGCTGGGGAGGAAGGTGAAGGAGGTGGGGGTCACAGGGGGTGTTTTCTCCGCTCTTTCTTGTTGAAGGATGTGGCCCAGGAAGAGAAGGAATCCTAGAAGTGAACTGTTGACTGTGCAGATGTATTTGTGTGGATTTGGGAGAGGTTGCAGGAAGGAAGTGGGGAGGAGTGCGGCGTAGGTGAGGAGAGGTAATACAGTCAAGATAGGAGAATTGTGGGAAGGAAATATTTCAAAAAGACTCTGCAGTAATTAATTTACTATAAATCTGCTTGGGAATTTACTTTTACTATTTTCAAGATTATGCTTTTACCTCAGAATAGCACTAAATATGTCTTTTTTCTGAAATCCATGCTTGGTTTCTGCTTGGTTGGTGTGAGACTTGACAGGATTTGTCAGTAGTGGGACATCTTTCCAAGATGAAGTTTTCTGGTATGAGATGGGCTCTACCTCGCAAGAACTGGAAACCTGGTCTGGAAGGTTTTAAACTGAGTCCTGAGGGAGAAGAGAAAGAGCACCAAGAAAGTAATGTGATGCCAAGTACTGGTACAGGATTGGAGGATTATGCAGGATACACTCATAAATAGAGGAAGGAATCATTCAAGGCACTTGATCCAAGAATTCCAGTTCCTCTATACAGATGATGCAGAATATCAGGTGCAAACAGGAAGAATTAGAAGTCATCATGCAGGAAGGCAAATACTGTATGTAGGAGGCATTACTGAAACCTGATGGGATGAAATTCATGGGGGAAATGCAAAGATGAAATGATGCAACTTACTCAAAAGAGGAAGAAGAGAAGGAGCAACATTATATGTGAAGATGATACAGGAATTTGACATCCCAAAATTTATTGACGCGGTCATTCTCTTCCATCCTGACTAGTGACTACAGACCCCAAGGAGGTCCTGAGCTATAATGGCCTTACCTGATCCCCCCTACTCCCCCCTACCAATCTATGGCTGGAGCTGGTGGAAGAAAGCCTTCGGGAGGAAGGAAGCCACTGGTAGAAAAAAGCAAGGGTGGGGCAAGCAGGCATCCCCCCTTCCCTGCCACCCTCTGATTTTAAACTCTTCCCTGCTGCTCCTAGGAGAAAGGAGGCAGCAGCCAGGCAGTAAAACAAAGCTGGCATCACTCAGGGTCTTCTTCCGCTCTGCAGCCGTTAGTTGAGATGCAAGAGAATGGTGGGAACAAAGAGCAAAGATGAGAATAAACAAGAATGTAGTGTCTTTCAGCAAATCCCAGCAAGCATCATGGTTCTATGATTATATGATTTATATATAAATCTAGTCTGCTGCAGAACTGTGACTCAGATTTAAACACTCACATCTTTCAATTTTCATAACCTTTACCCGATCTTCATCCCAAGTTGCATTAGTTCTTGTAAATATGGAGCTAGAGATATGTTGAAAAAGAGATATGATGCTGCTTTGACTTATATTTCCCAGTTAAGTCATTGATGCACTCATAAGACCTGTCTTTGTGGAGGAACAGCTTGGAATCAGGAGAAAAGCAAATACACACAGTAAAAAGAGAGTTATGTGCATCTCTGTGTGTATTGTGCATGCTTCTCATAATCCCAGGGAAAACACAGCTGCTTTGAGAAGTTTCAGAGAGGTGTTACATTTGTACCCCTGTGCATTCCAAAGCACTCTTTTGACTTTGAATCTGTACCCCAAAGCAATTTTTTGCCTTGAATTTGAAGTGTTACACACAGTCTCTCTCTCACGCACACATTATTAGCTATTGTAACCATTCTATGAATGTGAACGTGGGATATGAGTTGAATGAATTAATTAATGCTCAGGAAGGAATAGTTTGTCACCCAGTTATTCCATCCCTGGCTTTCGGAGCTGAGGAGCATGGAAAGGCCCAACTTCAGGACAGCGCACTTCAGAATAAATAAGAGGGGTTAGGCCAAGACACTGGCTAAGTAAAGAGTAGGGGGAAGGGAGGGAGCTGCCTTCTGATCTTGCAGGGTGATACATTAGGCTAAGTTGGTATTCTGGTACCCTGGTGTTATTCACAGCTTCTGATCTAGTTTATAAGAGATCTGCTCCATTAACCAGACTGCAATTATCTGAAATGATCCAAATATCTGAACTCATCGTATATTATTAATGTCAATGTGACCTTATTTAACAAGTTTAAGCTTCTTGATAATCTCTAACCAATTCAGATATGTGGGACTGTATTTGCTTTATTTCCTTATTTAGAAATAGGACTCTCCTAAGATGTTTGTTTTCATTCTGAATTCATTTGTTACTAAAATAAATAGATGCTAGATTAAGAAAAGAAAAATTGCCAGTGGACATTTAGAATAAAACGTAGATAGGAAGTAGATTTGCCCCACCAATTCAGTACCGTCCAGAAACTTTGGACTTCAACTTTCACAATTCCTCAATTTGGAGTGTGGGAACTGAAGGCCAAAATGCCAGTTCGGAAAAGTAGGTACTGATGGATGTGTTAGCTCCAGTTTCTTTCAGTTTCTCAGGTTAACAATATTACGTTATTTTCATCCTATTTCTACATGAAAATACAGAAGTTGGTACAGAAATGGTACACATTTTCATTTGTCTGTTCCCCCCCCCATATATATACAATCAATTCTACCTAACTAAATGTACCATATACACATTTTAGCATTATAAAATGTGGAGAACTGCAAACATTAAAGGATTTTCCATTTCAGTTTACCAATTGGTTCAGAAAATACAAATTAGATATGTGGGTAAAACAAGTATCTTTCCCATCCCTAAATGTAGATAAGAACTTTTTAAAAAAATCATCTTCCTAAATTATTGTTATAATTACTTGATGATATCTGATTTATACCAGCAATGCAGAATCCATATCATAAACAATTATGAATGTAAGTGCTTTTGTTACTTTATCCCTTGGGGGAAAAAAAAAAACTTCTTTACATTTACAATTACATTTTGTCAGCTGAAAGTCTTGCCTTGGATGCAAGCTGATCTGAAATTAACACTCTAAATCAAGTATAGGCAACCTGGTATCTTGGACTACCAAATTTTGGACTACCACTTCGATAATCCTTTACCATTGGTTTTGCTGACTGGGTCTCATGTTAAAAAAGTCCAGCACTTTTGAAAGACCATATGGGGCTACTCTTGCCTTAAATAGGATCAGAATATTTAAGGGCTGGTTTCTACTCTCTTCTGGAAGGCTGTCCTGCAGATCAGTCTAAAGCTGAGGAACTTCTCATGGGGATAAATGAAAAAAAGTATTGTGTGGCTACTGAACTTTCTACCCTGGGCCAGCTGTCTGAATGATTCAATCTCTCTTCTTCATGACACAGACAGACAGACAGACAGTCAGATAGATTTGGCTGACTTCCGATTGTTTAAAAAAAGAATTGAGTGTCCTGACTGCAATTCTTCTTTTTTTAATGATGATTTTGTTCTATTTCTTTTTCTATCAGTGGAAATGTGGAATAAAAATTATTTTAGGTAAACGTATGTATATGAATAAAACATGTATTACCTTTACTTATCCTCCTTTTTGTTTCCCTGCTTGCTCTGCTTTTTGCTCTATGGCCATGGGATTGATAATGGTTGCCTAAGAAGCTCTTTTCTCCTCATCCTGAGAGAGTTTCCTAGTCAAAGTCAACCCCCTAAAACAATAGTCTGACCCACATGATGCAAGCTCAGAACTGCAGTGTAATCTCTGCATTTGCAGAACTTGGGGGATTATTGGCTTTGAATTGCACAAGAAATGGATATTTTGATGCCTATGGGTTTTTTAATGCATACAAATGTAACAGTATGATAATTTGCACTACTTCAAGCTTGAGAGGTAGTAGTTCTAGCAGCTGTTCTAATTCTAGAGAATGGCATAGCCTTTATGATCTAAAGACCTAAGTGGTACTGGAAGCTACCTAGTAGTTTCCTGAGGGTAAGCTTCATTGAGCACAGTAAGGCTTACTTTGAAGTAGCTTTGAGATTGTGCTCTTTATATCTGCAGTCAGGTGCTCCAAGGGCAACTAGAATATGGCAGAGGTGCAGTGGATGGACAGCACTTCCTCAGATATTTGCTTCTCCAATTCTCTCTTTTTCTCCATAGCTCCTGCCCAGGCCCAAATCATCCACGCTGGGCAGGCATGTGTTGTAAAGGAAGATAACATCAGTGAACGAGTATACACTATCCGAGAAGGTGACACCCTTGTTCTGCAGTGTTTGGTTACGGGGCACCCACGGCCACAGGTAAACTTTCTCTTATTATTATCAGGAATACTTTTTTGCCAAATATTCCCAGGTATTCCCCTCCATATTAATACAGAGATTCATCATTATCATCATCATCATTATAATTTATTAAACTTGTATGCTGCTCGACTCTGGGTGCCTCACAACAGTCAAACAAAGAAATAACATTAAAAAATAAAGAAAGGCAAGCGCAATGATGTGAGGGTTCTCACTCTCCCTCACCAAAGGCCTGGGTGAAGAGCCAGGTCTTCACAACTCTTCTGAACAACAGCAGAGTGGGGGCCATCTGGATCTTGGGGGGGGGGTTTTTGTTCCAGAGGGCAGGTGCTGCTACAGAGAAGACACTCTTCTGGGGACCTGATAGATGACATTGTTTAATCAAAGGAACCCAGAGTGCGCCAAACCTGCAAGATTGAATTGGCCAGGCAGAATATCCATTGTGCATGTGGCCCTCAGAAATGTCCAGTGTCCTAATGAAATAAAATATATTGTCAGATTCACCGTCATGCTGGCAAAGTGAGAACTTTAGCACTTCATCCACAAAACAGAAGGAATCTGCATATTGTGGCTTGTATGAGTTGACCACCTGATCCTACAACCTCTACAATTCCTTGCCATTGGTTATACCAGCTAGGGCAATGGGAGATGGAGAAACATCTAGAAAGTATGGGATTTTGTATAAATCCTGAGCACTTTGCAGAGCCTTCTCCAATCATGTTAATTTGCAGGTTTTCAGTGCTCTTAATTTTCCAGAGTGATCACTACACAGCTGTTACTGCAGACTGAGACCGAAGGATTTCTTACCTTTCCACTAATCCCGTGTTCTTTTTTCCAGGTGTGTGTAGCTGCTTCAGAAGCTGCACGTGGCTGTCTTTGCATGTGAAGTATTGTGCCAAGCCATGTTGCTTCACTGAGAGAAAAATATGAAGAGTTATTGGGGAAAATGTGAAACAATTGTGCCTGCACTTGCATGTGATGACTTTTGGGAGTAGCTTCCAAAGCAACAATACAAACCTGGAGAAAAATGCAGCTGCTTTAACAATTCCCCAAAAAGTACTTTAGATATCCAGGTTCTCTCTTTCAAAATATTTTCACAGTCTGAACTTGGGCTGTTATTAAGTAAAATGAGGCCGCCCCCTTCAAATGGCAAGAAGAACTGACAATGATGGGGAAGGCAGAATTATCAACCACATGGTCAGCTGAGCTAGCTTCCTGCCCACAAATACAATGGATATAAACTATCTAATCTCAGCTTTGAATGGTTTCTCTATGGCGTGCATTTTTCTAACATTGTAATATCTTGGGTTAGCCTTGTATAGTATCTTCAGAATGGCTCGTTCTGCTTAGGGGACAAGGTTACGTAGCTAGATGCCATCAAGGCAGAGAGCTTAGAAATATATTATTATTTAAAGGCACAGAGAAATAAAAGATTCAGAAGGTCTTTTTGTTCATACTGTATGTGATGCAGGAGGAAGACTTAGCATACAGATAAAGAATTTCTATTCACTTGTGTCATGGCTGTTATACCCATGGCATCTGGATTTACAGCATGAATATAGATCCATATTTCTCAATTTCTAGGTCTCCCTTTTATTTTAATTTTCCCTTGCACTAGTTCTCTTGCCTTTACTCTGCATTAGTCAAAAAGAGGCAGAGTTTTGAAATTTGTTTTAAAGTTTTAAAAAACATTTGACTAAACTAACAAATTTGAACAATGAATAACACAGATAGAGACAAACTGGGAATGGGCAGCAATTATTACCGTCTCCTCTCTCATCCTCCTCTTGTGTTATCTCTCTGCTCCCTCTCCCCCTGCTTCTCCAAATCAAAGTTTTGTCTTTTAACCTTTGTTTAATCCCCTCCCAACTCTTCCCTCAGTCAGTCATTAAAGTTCCAAAATGTGGTCAAACTAAATAAATGAAGCTGAAATGAAAAAAGCCGAGGAAAGATTAAAGGACCAACGGAAGCAGCCATGCAAACAGAATGCTCTTTAAGAGGCTTCAGGCTTCTAATGAGAGGACAAAGGCTAAACAAATCCCTCATGGGCTGCCATTAACTCTATAGCAGCGCAAGGTGGGGTTGTTGAACCTGATCATCCCAAACCTGAAATCCAGGTCACCCAGCATATAGTCCTATGGGCATGGAGAAGATTACAAAAAGGACGTGAGAGTGATAATATTGTTGCCTTCCAGCTCTGCAGGTTTATAGGTTGAAAAACAATTTAATTCCCAACTGTTCTTCATGCATTTCATCTGAATTTTACAAATTTGCTCTGTTTGAGCCTTAGATTAGCATCTGTAAAATGGGAGTAACTGTGCCTTTCATCACACAGAGGAACATGTGAGAAGTACTTCCAGTCTGAACTGAAAATTGCCCCCAAATCCACATCTACTGTCTCTTTCACTAGCTCACTTTTTTATATCCACTCAGTCTGAACCCTTCCAAAATGTGGTGCATGAATTCCATAAAAAATTATTTATTCTATTTTTTTTTCCTGCTGTTTCTGGCCCATTTCACATGTCAAGCAGGGTAGGGTAGTCAAAGGAATTTAAAGCATCTGTGGACCACACTGTTGCACAGGTAGCTTTTTGCTTGAAAGCTGCTGATTTGGTTCAGGCTGACAGTAACCATGTCTGGGGAAAAGCAAACCTGCTTATCAGGGCTGGGGACATAGTTATGATTGTACTGAACCATGTGGATGGAATGTAGGATGCTGCTTTTGCTATTCATAGGGCTGGTCTATCCAGCTTTGTATCATCTATAACAGTATTGTCCAAACTTGGCCACTTTAAGATGAGTGGACCAACTCCCAGAATTCCCCAGCC